GAGAGCCACCTGCAGACAGAAGGGGGGGGGGGTCGCAGCCCTCTGCCCGTTCACCGGAAAACAGAGACCAATCTCAAAAAAACTTCGTTTTTATTATTAAACCTTGTAGTACAAACCTGAAAAGTAAACAAAAAACTGGCAATAAACAACATGAAGTCTTCCCTCCCGCGGGAGGAGTGCAGAGCAGCGCTAATAAATTAAATGTCAAACTGTAAGCCAGAGGCAGAAGTTTACTGTCAAAAAGAGGGAAAGTACACAGCAAGGCCATAAAAACCGGACAACCACATTGGAAAACACGTGACTCTGTTTATGTAATTGTTAAATATTCCAAAAACAGTTCAGTCTTCTGCAACAACAACCGACAAAGTGTATCACAGGACGCTCCCGACAGTCCCACTGGCAAGCTCAGTGCATATGAGTAGCTACGGGCTCGATGGATCCAATTACGAAACAAAGGACAGCTCGTGAAAACAGGTCCCTTTTTTATTCCACACGTACTGTACACACAACCGGAGGAGGGCGACAGCTACTCCATTATTATTTTGTTGTTGTTCAGTGATGTAAGCAGCACTTATAAATGTTACAAGAAAAACCCTGTAAGCATCCAATCCACCCGATGAAGAAACGGAAACGTAAGGCTTTTCTTCATCTTGTCCTCGCACCCTCCCCACCCCCCACCGAGAAAAAGGCTCAAGTATTTAAAACAATTTACAGGCGTATGTACAAAAGGGATGGGATTCTTTTTTTTTCTTTTTTCTTTTTTTTGTTACAACATGAAGAGAAAAAATAGACAAGATGAGCGCAAATGCATTTTCACATTCAGAAAGAACTGCAGACCTCCTAGTGGCTCTAAGTGTGACCGTCAACGAAACGAGTTTAGAAAGAAAGATTAATGCTGACTTGTGAAGGTGTAAACCAAGCAGTGACACGAAGACGGAATGTTAGAGAGATTGCACGTCTAGGACAAAGAAGCACTTTCGGCTTCGATCACTTTTTTTTCCTTTTTTGTTTTTTTGTGGTTTTTTTTTTCTTAAGGATGCTATTGAAGGGTTTTTTGATAAAGTAGCCAACAGCACCAAAAAATAACAGAATGGATTTCCTAATGAAATCAGGCACAGGTTTCCCTCACGTGACCCCTCCAAGGCAGGCAGTCTGCTTTCTTCTCCCGCTCTCCTCTTTCCCTTAAACAGATGCATAGAGATGTGCTGGTAAAGAGAACCTCGTCGTCCGCTTCCGCATTTTGCCTCGGGTTGGGAAACAACGTCCGCCTTCAGCTGCCACAACCGCCCAGAGAAACAAAATGGGGGTTCTCCGGTTTTAAAAATTACAAACTCATTTTGCACATGACAGAAGAAAAGACAGCCAAAGTAAAGCCATTTCTTTTCAAGTTTTGTGTGTGTGTGTGTGTGTGTGTGTGTGTGTGTCTCCTATCCCTTTTCCTCTCTAGAAAAATCTGCTCACATGACTGGTTTTTTAAAATTTGTTCTCCAAACTTCACCCTCTTCGAAAATGGGTTAAAAAAGCCTTTTTTCCCCCAAAGTTACCAAAAAAAACCAAAACCAAAACAAAAAAACAAAAAAAAAACAAAACAAAAAACCAAAAAGGCTTTTTTCAGCCACAGGGGCGATACAAATTAATACAGCCCCCTCAAGGGTTTTTAAAACTGAATATACGGCAGTTTCCAAAATCTGACTGCAGTATCTAGGTATTCTAAGTACAAAAAAAAGTTCAACAGTTTAATGCTAAAACAAAATTAGTTCTCTAAAACCAGAAGAAAATCTTCTTTAGAGCTAGTGCAAAGACAGCTTGTATCCTACAGCAAGTACTCCAAACTAGAATATCATAATTACAAAAAAATATATATCGATCGACACGGGTGTTGGCATCTTCACGACGAGCTCGAAGCACTTCGGGGGGAACCGGAGGAGGAAAGCCGGGGTGGCGGCACGTCCACGGTCGCCCTCTTGCGGGGCCCTCTTTTCGGTGTGGGTTTGCCGAGACGGTTCTCGATGCTGCCATTCTTACCAGACACTTTGCCGCAGATCTGATTGACCAGACTGATGATCTGCTCCTGTTTCCGGGAGAGAGGAAGACAATTAACAGACCAGAAGCACGCGATCCCAGACCCCTCCCGGGGTGACGCTCACCACCACAGCACAGGACCGGGGGGGGGGGGGGGGGGGGGGGGGGGGCCACGGAGTGCTGCCCCCCGGAGGCGGTTCACAGACACCGGGAGAAGCGATTCTGAGGCAGCGGCTTGGGAACCAGGCCGAACGATCCTTGAGAACCTGGCCCCTAAAGCAGGCCCTTTGCTTCTCACAGACACACCTGCCACTTCATGGCCCGGAGGGATGAGGGGCAGAGCACCTGCCGCAACGCGCGTCCTAGCCTCCGAGCCCCCACCACGGCACCGCCCCGCGGCCGGCAGGGTCACTGAAATCCCTGAAGTCCCACAACTGTACCCAGTACGTTGTTTTCTACACGCATCTCACGTGTAACGTGTCCCTCGCCCCGGAGCCTGGGCCACCCAAACAGCAAGAGCGGGTCACCGTCCCGCGGCCACACGACCCAGCCACCCGGGAGACGGGCTCCGTGCGCGGACAGGGTAACGGGGCTGCCCGCACCAGCACGCAGGGGCAGGGCTGCAGGGGGGCTGGGCTCTGCCTGCCCCCGAGGCTCACGGGGGCGTCCCGGAGGCTTCTTGCCCCGAAGAGGACAAGTGCCTAGGGCGGTGTCATTCCAGCTGCCCGGGCACTCGAGCCTTCCTTCACCTGGCCTTGCAGATAAATACACGTGTCTACTTCTGGATATTTCTGGCATCCCCTCCTCTCAACGAAGGGGAGATGATTAACAAGCATCCTTAAAGTCAATCAAGGGAACCATTTTACTGTCGGCATCAAGTATGTATTTGTAACCTCAACACCACTCAGAACCACGCAGTTTTACGAGAAACCGTGGGGGGAAATACCAAAATGGCATATGGCCAGACCTTTCAGAAGCACCTGCTCTGGACCAGGGTCAGCGGGAACCATGTGGACACAGGCGGGGGTGAGGGGGGGAGGGGGGGTTGCTCATCCTTCACTCAAAG